TACCCAGGGTCAGCTCCAAACAAAGCGATTAATGCTAATTTGAATCTTAAAAGAGCGAAAAAACGTAATGTGAATCTTTATCTCCATGACATATCGCCGAAAGTAGAACGCACTGCTGAATTCCCTATGAGGACAAAAATGGAAAATGTTATGACAATAGATGAATCTTGGGTACATTTAAATGACCAAACAGAGATCCATTTATTACCATCAAAGAGCAGAATAAAATCTTAGAACATGGTTCAAAGACTCTTAAGAAGGTTTTTCAAAGGGATTTATGATTATTGCTGGTTTTTTATATAACATTTGATATAACGCTGGTTTTTGATACAAAACTTAAAGAGAGTGCAGAAAACTGTTAAGGCCAACTCCACATATTATCAGGAATATATTTTATACCCAATGAAATATATATGAATGATATGAAATATGAAATACCTTCCCTTTAGCCACAGTGACATCCATCAGTAGAACTGCATCAAGACAAAGCAAGCAATCGCATGTCAAAACCCACTGTTAATTTCCTAGAAAGAAATGGAACAAGAACCTGTATCAAGGCCATACCCATCATTCATATCCCTACTAAATCTTCTGGTGTACCATTGAAGAATTTTTGCCTTTTGGACTTTTAAAAGGCGGATTGCAAAGACGTCGACCAACAACCCTCCTTGGACTTTGGAAAGCTGTTCCTGAGGAATGAGATAAAATACCTCTTTCGCTACTAAAAGATGCTTTATTGTCTTGGAAAATTCCGTTGCAGAAAGATAGCGAAGAACAAGGATTATCAAATAAAACATTTAAAGCGCAAAAATTTTAGGTAAAATATTTCTGGAGACACAATGAAACCTGTCTAAAAATATGTACCAGTAGCGTTACTATTATGCTGCTTCAGTCAACTTCAGTGCCACGTTTTTTTCTTTTCATTTCTATAAAAGATTTATTCTTAACAAATATAACTAAGATTTGTTTTATTACATTAAAACGAGAAAATGAGTTTTCCGAGAAAAAATTTTTAACCGAGAAAATTCGTTTAGAAACTATGCAAATCACATAGTTTCTAAACATAAGTGAGCAAACTCTAAAATATTCATGAAAGTTAAAAACATTTACTTCGACTTTGTAAGCCATACAGGCGAAAACAAATATCAATAATCTTTTAAGCTCGGCAAACTTCCGCAACAAATAAGATTAAACTTATTTCAGCTTTAATAAAAGTTCTAATAAATTTTAATAACTGTGAGTCAAAATTTTACAGAATATTTTCCTCCCTACGAAACAAAATCTTTTATGCCACGACTGAGACAGTAGTTCTAAGCAGTCCACAACCCCTACATTATGGTTCTGAATATCTCGCGTAAAACGCTGCTGTTCTAAAATCTATTCTAGCTGTAGAAAAAAAAAGGAGGGATATGTTAATCTGAAAAGGAAGAATCCCTAATCGCTATCAAAATCTGGAGCTATTTATCCTTAATTTTTATTATTGTAGCACTTACTATTCTCCTGAATAATCATTAAAAAAGTCATTTTAGACAATAATAATAAATAAATGGTAATATTACCAGCAAAAACATATAGCATATGAGGGCAAAATTAAAGTTTCAACTAGAAATCCTTTAGGAGAATAACATTTTCTCCCATACCAAATATTTTAAGCCCTATAATACATTCAAGAATACTAAAGAAAAACTGCTTAATTCAGTTTGCTTTTTGCTATATTAGACTAAACTTCTCATATTCAGCTATGTACCTTTAAATGTAAAAGTACAGCTTCATAGACAGCACAATCGCCGGGATTCAAATCTGAGTCGAACTATCAGCAGTCCTATCGATGCAGCTACCCATATAACAAGGTAAATTAATGCTGTAAAATATGAAGGGAGAGAAACAATATGAATAATACTTGAGGCAAATCAGTTTGAGTAGTCTTCAATCGTTTCTTAGTAAACTTCTATTCAAGTGAACTACTATATATTAGCAACTGAAGTGAACAATTAGCATAAATAAGCAACAATTTGAAACATTCTCGCTGATTGTAATTTTGTTGGAACTCAATCCAATTTTATTGAAGCTTTCGTACTGCAGTGAACGTAGTACCAACCCCAAAGAATCTCTAAGGATTCTTTGCCAACCCTTCAATAAAGCTGGATTACGCTTCTAAGATTACGCTTAAATCTGGTTTACTCTTCCAGCTGCTTTCAACGTAATAGCAATGCCTCAGACTGAAGAGCTTTCAACAGAACTGCAATTATCGAGAATTTTTTACTTTTTTGCTTATGTGCGTAAATTTTAACATTGTGCTTCTTCACTTGGTTTTTAATGTGAATGGTGTTTATCATGTGAATACGAAAAGTATATTAAAGTTACACGCATACATGTTTTCCTCAAATCATTCAATAGCAGGAAATGCTATAGAACATCTTTAATTCGAATTCTTATGGCACGAAATTTTCGCGAAGTCAAACAAAATATTTTTCCTTATAGAAATTTCTCAAATTTCTCAGTTGATCAAAATAATTGATAATCCGAACGTCTTTCGAAAAAGACTCAGAAATTATTGCCTTTGCATTACATTCTCAGGAAACCGAAGTTCATATTATCCACCTGTCATTAAGACCTACCAGCAGCCTACCGGTAAAATCCTTCTACTTCGAGTCAAATCGCTACGAATGGGCTGGCTGCATAGGAATTTTCGCGACTGTTCCCCATGCGTGGAGCAAACACGTGTCAATTCCCTTAAAAGGTTCTCCACAAAGGCATAGGAATAGCTCTTAGGCAAATAGCTGTCGTATACTTCGCTTTTAATCTAAATCATCGTAATCCGCTAGTCATTGAGAACTTAAAATGCAAAGTAATTTGCATTGCCATAGATTTCTGGTCATTTTGGTTAGCAACGGCAATGCTGCAGTCGAGGATGTTTAAAATTATACATTACAGGAAATTATCATTTATTTTAAAAAAGCAATTTTTACTTTTACTTTGAGTAAAACAAGTCTCAGCTATCTGACATACTACGCTGTTTTGCACTAATAGTGTGTATAAAAAGGCTACAGCTCAAACAATCTTATTCAAAGTAAATCTCCAAGATCTAGAGTCCATAACAGATAGCATTCAAATAAAATAAATGTTTTTTAATATGGATTTGCTACATTTTAAATAAATATATACTTCTAATAATTTTTATTAGCACAAAGAATAAAATTCGAAATCTGTGACTTTCAATAACGAAACCTTTTTTCTCCAAAATGTACCTCTATTATCACAACTGTAACGTAAAAATACATAAAAGAGAAACCAAAACATGAATGAAAACAAATGAGATCAGTTTATTTAAATCGTTTTCATAGCTCAAAAATAAACTGAAAAGCTAATATAAAAAAACAAAAAAAAAAATATTTATTTCAAATTCTCTAAGAGGCAAAATTAAATTTTATGCCGATAGTAGTTTTATAGAAAAAGTCTGCGCATTTTAAAAAACATTGTGGCTATCTATCTTTGAATGCATTTCTACAAAATTAATACTATTGCCTAATTTCGAAAAGGTACTGGTCCACGAAATATTGGCATGAATACCCATGAAACATCGGCATACGCGTACAGATTTTAATATTTAGTAAAACACACTAATATGCCTGGTAAAATTATGTGTAGCTTTTAATCCAAAACAATTATTAGGAGAAAATATAATCATAGTTAATATTTACATCTAGTTTTATAGATGTAGTAAAGATTACATTCAACTTCGAAATTTTTGCTTTTATTTTATTTGTTGTATCTTTATACCAGTTTCTTAAATTGTGGGTCGCGACCCCCATTCGCATAATTTTTATTGCTTGATACAGAATGCAATAATGTAAGAAAAGGCTTTAATTAAACCAATAAGGCCTATAAACAATAATGCAATATAATAATATGCATAGTTATCCTTCTGTATAGCTATGCTTCTGTATGTCACATGTATTTCTATGCAATCTAGCTAAATATTTCAAAACACATGCGCTTTTTTGGATTAGTGACCCATCATAGGAATCAAATGCACTGTTTATAGTAATTTATAACACACTGTTTTTATGCTAATCTACATTGTAATTTGACATTTCTATTGAACATCGATTAAAGTATAAATAAGCTTTGCACCAAATAAGAAATACCCGAAAAAAGTACACATTTAAATCATTTTCAAGCATTTATATATAAATTTTAAAACAGTATTCCATACTCCTGCTTAATAAGTGCTGTTCTTAATAAAGTTTTTTTAATAAGTATAAAATCTGATATTTTAAACTCCAGTGCATCTTGGATGAGCGTTATTCAAACGGAACTTTTAAAATGTAAAATTAAACTTACATTAATTTCAAAACATATATTATTGAATTTATAAAAATGTAAAAATTTAAATTAAAAGAATATGTTTCATAGGCTAAATGCGTTTATTGATGGGAAACTCTTTAGAACTGAAACTTAAAAAAAACTGCTTGATAAATTAACAAATAGTAAAGCAAAAGCACACATATCATGTTTTAAAATAATGCTCGAAACTAAGACTTCAGCGACTTTTGTCAGTGACAAAAACTGAAAGTAACAAAATGTGACAGTTATTTTAAAAGTTAGGCGGTTTGTTTTCTGAAAGTCGACACAGGAGAAAGGTATATCATATGACAACCGAAACATCTGTCAGTGTTTGTTAATGATTAAAATAGTTTCGTTCATGTCAGTGTAACTGCCATTTTTTCTAATTTTATAATTAGCATGCTTTTCAGTTGCTGATAGTAACAGTTAATAGTTACTTTGCTCAGAACAAGTTGCTCGTTGAAAAGGATATTGACAATGGTTAGCTCTGAAATAAATTTTCTTCCTTCCTAATTTTGTTTTGGAACGCATTTTTATTTTTTTATTTTTAAACTGCTTATGTTTCTTTCTCGCATTCCTTATGTATTATTTTTGCAGTATTTGTTTACTAACTTTGAAACGTTTAGAAAATAGTACAGAGAAAGTGTACTTACCAATTGTAGTAATAACTGTCAAAGAGTACAGAAAGGCTCCAGAAAATGTCCATTGAGTGCTAGCTCCTTCTTTTCCATCATATCCATCTCTTATTGCATTCACTACATCTGCTTGAAATCTTTTCACTTCTTCTGTCACTTGCCGCGTCCAATTCTCCTTGTACAAAACATTCAGTTGGTCTGTAATGGCCCACAATCTTTTGACAGTGTCCATTCTCTTGTGCATTACTTCATCTACCTTCTGTTCTTCGTAAGGAGCCTCCAGAGCTTGGAAAGCGAAGGCTCCCAAGATACTGTAACCAACCACAAGGGCACACAGACCCACGTGTGAAAACATAAAAGCTGTAAAGCGTCGACAACAAGTCTTGCACTTATTTTCTGGTGGACGTTTCCGATGCCTGGACGGTGGACCACGTCGACTGGACCGCTTCCTTTCCAACGCCATTTCAAACGCAAGAGACTAAGTTTAGGGTTCATACCAGACGTGGATAATCGTACGAAAAAATGATTGCAAATATAGAATATCGTTTAAAATTTCGCTGTCTTAAAACTATCTTTCTCAGTGTTAATGGTAATTGCTAACATCGAATTCTCGACTAAATTACTTCATGTTTGCAAATATATGTTTTTTTAACGTACTTAATGAAGTACGTCATTAGTTTCTAATTTGTCTCCTTGACATTTTTTATTTTAGGTATCGAAAAAATTAGTTTTATGTTTCACATATGTATTCACATTTTTATGCACACTGCATTTTTACAATTCTTCTTTTTACTTTTCTCTGTTACCTAATCGGAGTTTATCGCTGCTTCAATTTTAAAAGAAATTTTATTAAAGTAGAAAATAATATTATCATTTTTAAAAAAATTTTTTTGAATTCTTGAGAGGAAAACAATTTTTTATAAAATTTTACAAAGAGCATGTAATAATGAAATTAAGTGATTCGAATAGTTATTTCGGGGTCTATTTTAACTAAACATTTCGTAGAACCTTTTCATAGTTATTTTAGACCATTAGATAGAGCTTCAAGCCTATCAGTTACTAAATGCTTTCATGGAGTTCATAGACATGGCAATTAGAACTTAAAACTTGAAACAGTTCATGGAGTTCATAGACATGGAAATTAGAACTTAAAACTTGAAAATAGTTTTCCACTTCTTCTAATAATTGTGTTTTATTTAAGTAATTAAAAGAGAAGTCTCACACGGAATAATAAGTTCATATGGAATGTGACCAAAATTCTGTGCTTTATAGTTTCTTTTAAATATTATTTTTCCTTTTCAGGCTTTCGTTTACGGCATAGTTTTAAAAAATGTGCTGCTAGCTTACCGAGCAGGGTAAAATTGCGTTAATTTCTTAAGATAAATATTTCAGAAAGCAGAAATGATATTTTTGCAATGCTGCAATTTTTACGATATTAACTGAAATTCCAAAATAATTTTCTTTTTCAAATTTTATTACCTAAAGTATTTTTTTACGTAATGTTGAAATGAATTGCTTAGTTAATTGTTTAGGTAATATTGAAATGACTTCAGATTTTCAGATACGTGTAAAATTTCAAGAATGTCCTCCATTCATTTTAATCCTTTAGAACTGATTGTGGCATATACAACTATTTTCTTGAAATTATTGCAAAACATTTAAAGAATAATGAAATACGAAATTTGTGATCAAGTATGCTTTCTTTCTTAAGACTCGGTGCAACAAAATTTCCCCAGCTTTTAAAGAATTTTTTTACGTTTATATAACCTTATACGTAGTACATTTTAAATTTTGAAAAAGACTGTAATAACATTCAATATACAACTCTTAATTAAAAATAGAGGCTATTAATAAAATGAAAGCATAACGACAATATTTTTTTTTATTCTGATAATAACATTTCTCTTACTCATGAATTTTTAGGTGAAAGATTTGATTCTGAAATAAATTCTTATTATCAAATAAGGAAAATAGAAAAGGAATGCTGTTATGAACATTCGTTAAGCCTAAATGCCGGTGCGGATGCACTGTAATGGTAAACAATAAAGCAAAAGCATTGTTTTCTACCTATATCAGTTTGCATGTTCCCACAAACTTGCACACGTTAAAATCACTTACGTATTAGCTTTGCACAAACCTTTGCATCAGTAGTTAGTTATGCACGAACAATGAATGCATGACTATGCATTCTTCTGTGGGTCACTCATTCTCCAAACACTGCAGCATCCTGCTGTTCTTACGGATCTTACACGGCGGTGTGCAGTTTTGGCGCAAATTCCGGTTTCTATTTTGCTTTTCTCTCGCATCCTCTCTTGATCTCCATCTTCCTCTGCCTGTCGCGAATGCTGATTACAATGCCATCTAGCGGCGAATGTCGGAAACAGAATTGATCGAACTTATTTCAGCGATGAATAATTTCGTTGGTTGGCTTAATAAGTACAGAATTCCAATTATTCGGACTGCGGATATTGTGAACTATGATTTTGCGGATCGTTGCCCCTCTTTCTAGGCCAATTAAAAGTAAACTATTTTTTAATTTATTCGCAAGCTTTATACATTTGTTCCATTGGTTTAAATAATATAAGAAGAACCATCTGAAGTACCCGGCGTTTGTTTGGGCATTATGCACAGTGAAGAAGCTTCATTAGGGGGCGGGGGGGATGGGGATAGTTTATTCGAAATTTGAGGTAAATATTAATTTTTCCTCTTACTTTGCTTGAATGTGAACTATGAAAATTTTATCAAGCTCGAATAAAACTGTAAAACAATTCAGAACTAACACAACCTCATGTAAAGATTTTATTAAGAACTGGTACTTGCTTTGTTATCAGTTACGTCTGTTTCCAGAGATGAGCTTTCAGAAAATTACAATCCATTTTGACGGATTTCTTTACCGTTTTCCAAACATTTAAGAAAACTGATGAGAATGCACTTAAATTTTGCTTTAATGATTAAATAAAGTCAGCTTTATTTTATTTGGTTTGAAATATATTATGCATTCAATTGTACGCAAATAAAAATAATTTCTTTCTTCAGTTTTAATATACTAAAGAAAAAGAGCTTTTGTTTGCATCCGTTTGTAAATGCAATTATTAATCAAGAGTTCCATCGGCCTTCTTAATAAATAATAATTTTATTGGTTTATTTCAGTTGAGCTTGGAAAAGGCGTGTGCGTTTAAGCAAAAAAAAAAAAAAAAAAATATTGCATAATTTTGTAGAAAAAAATCGTAGTTGTAATTCTGCTGTTTACAGAAGTGTGCATATATATATATATGTGTGTGTATGTGTGTGTGTGTGTGTGTGTGTGTACACTTAAATTTACATGAGTTTTACGTGTAAAATAAGTTATATAAAGAAACCTTACACGATTATAATAAAACGCACTTTAAATAGTCAGGTACTTTTCAGCTATCGTGTTTCTTTATCATACGTGATTAAAAATACTCGTTATAAAAATTAAAACACAAAAAGTTTGTCTACAGCACGACTAAAATTGTCCGAGTAGATTTTCCGATAGAAGTCGTATTCAGTTCGCACCAATGGGTCGGATAGTAAATAAATTAGAATAAATCGACATCAATTTTTCCCCGTAATGCCATTCATCAGTACTATTTTGTATTACTGAAATTACCAGAGTCTTTATTTTATAATTTTAGTTTGTTTAATCGAAAAAACTTTAACATAAATAATTTAGAATTTTTAAAAATCTACAAATGTGTTATTAATATTCTCATGAAATTTTATTATTTTGGAAATATGATAATCGTGCAATAAATTCATGGCATGTAAAGAATTAGAAATACTTGTGTTTTAACTAATGACCACACGTCCCGATTTTGGCGGGACAGTCCCGCTTTTTAGAAAACATCTGCATTTCTTATTTTAAATGAACTGTAAAAATATATTAATTATTATAGTAAATATAAAGAAATAAAAAATACATAAATAAAAAACACATAAAATGCATGCAGAGTAAACTAAATTAGGCGATATAACGAGTTAGATTTACTCGGTGGTGTTTGATCATTGTCGTTGCGTCTCATCAAGGAATTTGTATTGTTGTTAACAGGAAGAACAGCTAGCATTAGCTGAAGGGCTATTTGCTTTCCACACCATTAACCCCAATCAAAGTTTCAGATCAATTGACTGTACGTCACGGATGTTCAAAACATTGTACGACAAAAAATTGTGCAAAGACAAAAACCGAAGCAGTTATTTGTAAAGTTTTTTCACTATATTCCTTTTCACAATTGCAGAAAGAATTAGATTAAATGCACATTTATATCCATATATTATGATGCTTCCAACCACAAATATTTAAAATTATTTCCCACAATTGTTAGACTTTGATTCAAAAACAGGAATTAAAATTAGAATATTAGATTTTATTTCATTGCCGGGTAAACTTCATAAATAATTTTTGATTCAATAAGCACAATTTTAAAAAATATAATTTGAACAATAAAATGATTGCCTTTTGTGAGGATAACACTAACGAAACTTTTGGTGGAAAAGCTAGAAGAGGCATCAATAACGTTTTTACGAAACAAAAGAACATTTGAACCAAAAAATTATTGGAGTAGGTTATGCAGCGCACTTTCTACACAATACTATTCAAACATCATCTGACTTACTTCCAGTGGATTTTGAAAATATTATTGCAAAAATTTATTCGTATTTATATACATATATACTGTATGTGTTGAAAATTTGAGGGATTTATGTGCTAACGCAGAAATCGAATAGGAAAATTGGGGTGGGGGTGACATTAAAAAAGGACATTTTATGGGAATATGTGGAAAAATCTTTTTAATATAATAGTAACCATTTTCCGAAAAATAATATTTGCTAAAATGATCTTTTTGATAAGGTGTCATTGGTAAAAAGATACGTTACTGGTAAAAATATTAAATGTTGGTTGTCTGCAAATGTGGAAACAGACATAAAATGGACGGAGTTATTCCTTCATTGTAAACAAATAATATTCCTTGTTTTGAAATAATAATATTCCTTGTTTTGAAATAATAATAATTCTTGTTTTAAATTAATAATATTCCTTATTTTGAAAATTATAGAACACGCGCTCCCCCTTCCAGGAACAAATGCAGCAACAAGACGTGTTTTTTCTAGTATCAATAAAATATAGACAATTGAAAACACGCAGTTAATTTTAAAAACTTTAAAATCTGTATTAAGAGTAAAATATAATTTGATCAATTCATGTGAGAAATTTCACAACATTTTAATAAATGATCCGAATCTATTGCAAAGTATTCACTCGGATAAAAAATATCACCGTGAAAGAAAATCAAAAATTTTTACTAAAATTTTAAATTAATTAAAAAACACATATTAAAAATTATAGCTTTTTTACAATATTTTTATAGTTACCAATAGTTAATATAAATATATTTTTGTATATTTATAGACAAGTATATGAATGTATACAATAAAATACATTCCTTTTTGAATTATTGGTCTGCTTTCATAACTAAATTACAATTTTCATTTTATTCCATTTGTCTCGCTTTGTCTCAATGAAAATGTGGTCACTTTAGTTTTAATACAAGTATTGCTAATTTTTTACTAATGCAAATAGTATTAAAACCCAAGTAGCACAGCAGCGTCGTTACGACGTTGCAAACTCGTCGCCGGATGTCGCTGCAAAAACGTTGAAATATGTCGTCTTTAAGACGCCCAGATGTCAGCGAAACTACACTGTTTTGTAAACGTTGCAATGAGGTTTTTGTGGCATAGACATCGTTATTGCGTCTTTCGCAGGTGATATTTTAGTTGTGAAAGAATCGTATCACGACGTCTTAACAACGCTTAAATGTTCGCAAAATTCCACCTTTTTGAAACAGTTGTAAAAATGTCGTTATTATGTCTTTGTGTTACCTATTGATTTATGCAGAAAAATAAGCTTAATAATTAATGTATTTTTCTTCTTTTTTAAAATTTTGTATTCCTTGTATTTTTTAAAGTTTAAATATTTTATCATTTCTGAAAATCAGAGATATAAATTTTT